AAGGATGCAGTTGCAAGTCATTGAATTGGAAGAGGAGGGGTTCAAGGAAGTTGACAGGACATAAATCCAGAAGTTGAAGCACCAAAAAAATTCGAATGTGTGCCAGAGCACTCTGAGTGTTTGCAAATTTCACTACATGCCATACAAGGTAGTGTGGGACCCTCTGTTATGAGAATTCTAGGATATGTGGGTCGAAGACAAGTACAAATTCTGATAGACAATGGAGCTTCTCATGCCTACATGGACTGTGACTTGGCTAGGAAGTTGGGTTGGAGGGACGGTTTCAAACTTGTGGCAAAAGTGAAAGTGGCAGGGGGTGGAAAATTGAAGGTATATGGGATTTTAAAAGGGGTGAAGTGGAAGATGCAATGTGAAGAGTTCGAAGGAGACTTTCAGATAATGGAAGTCAAGACCTATGACATGGTTTTAGGTTTATCTTGGCTTAAAACCATTTATCAGGCTTATTGGGATTATGACAATTTGTCCATGACCTTCTGGTATAATGGAAAAATATGTAAATTGCAGTCTCAATGATCTATAGGGTGTAAAATTGTTGATTTTAAAAAGATTGAAAGTGAATTAGAAGCTGGAGGACAGATGTTTATGCTGCAATTAGTGGAAAAGGAGGATGAAGAGCTGTGTTATTTTCAGTTGCAGGGGGAGCATGGTTCTAAAAAAGCTGTTCAAGGATTGTTGGAGGAATTTTCTGATGTATTCAAGGAGCCTAGATCTCTTCCCCCTTTGAGAGAGGGCCATAACCATCTTATTATTCTACAAGAAGGTTCTGATCCAGTAAATTTAAGGCCTTACCGATATCTAGCAGCCCAAAAGAATGCCATTGAAGACATGGTGAAGGAGCTGTTACAATCTCAAATCATTCAAGAAAGTAGCTCACGATTTTCTTCACCAATTGTGTTGGTGTAAAAGAAAGATAGGTCATGGCGCATGTGCATCGATTATATAGAACTTAACAAGAGGACAATGAAGAATAAATACCCTATTCCGCTTGTGGAAGAGCTTTTGGATGAATTAAGGGTTGCTAAATGGTTCACTAAGCTGGATCTAAGGGCTGGTTATCATCAAATTCAAACGGAGCCTGCAAACATCTATAAAACAGCCTTTCGTACTCATTCGGGTCACTATGAGTGGTTAGTGATGTCTTTTAGGCTCACTAATGCACTTGCAACTTTTCAGGGTGTCATGAATAGTATATTTAGGGAGTATTTACAAAAATTTGTCTTAGTTTTCTTTGATGATATTTTGATTTATAGTCCCTATTTAGAATCTCACACATGACACTTGCATTTGGTTCTAGAAATTCTAAGGAGAAATTGTTTTTTTGTGAAGGAAAGCAAGTGTACTTTCACTGCAACACAAGTAGAATATTTGGGACACATTATAAGTGGAGGAGTTATCTCAACTGATCCCAAGAAGATCAAGGCAGTCATGGATTAGCCTAAACCAACCACAGTAAAACAACTAAGATCATTTTTGGGACTTGCAGGTTATTATAGGAGGTTTATTGGGGGTTATGGTTCAACAACTAAGCCCCTAACTGAACTGCTCAAGAAGAATAATTTTTATTGGTCAAAGTTGGCTACTGTTACATTCAAAGAGTTGAAAGAAACACTAGTGGCAGCCCCTGTTCTTGCTCTTCCAGATTTTTCGCAAGTGTTTGTGGTTGAGACTGATGCTTATAGCTCGAGCATTGGTGTTGTTCTGATGCAAAAGGGTCAACCTATTGCCTTTTTCAGCAAAGTTTGGCTCCTAGGCACCTGAATCTCTCTATCTATGAGAAGGAATTGTTGGGGGTAGTACAAGCTGTGGAACATTGGCATCAATATCTTGAAGGAAGGCGGTTTATCATTAAAACTATCATTAAAACTGATCGGCAAAGTCTTAAATTCTTGTTAGATCAAAAGCTTAAAACTGCATTTCAAATGTATTGGGTGACCAAACTTATGGAGTACGATTATGAAATACATTATAGAAGGGGCAACGACAATAATGCAGCTGATGCTCTTTCAAGGATGCCAAAAAGTGAGTTTTTCCAAGTATCTTTGCAGACTTGTTCAGATTTCCTTTTTCTGGAAATTGAAAGAGTTGGGTTGAGGATGTTGATTTGCGAGCTTTAAAAGCTCATTTGCAACAAAAGGGAGGTGTAGAAGGCAACTATTCTTGGGATGGTCAGCATTTAAGAAGGAATGGCAGTTTAATGGTGGGAAATATTCATAGTGTAAGGAAGAAAATATTGGAATGGCTTCATGCAAGTCCATAAGGAGGACATTCAGGTATACAAGCTACTTATCAAAGAGTTAAAAAGTTGTTTCGGTGGCAAAAATTATTTGATGACATCAAGGAGTTTGTAAAGCACTATGATACTTGTGCAAGATGTAAGTCTGAATCAGTGGCTTATCTAGGGTTGCTACTGCCTCTACCTATTCTAGGTCGAGTTCGGGCAAGCATGACTATGGATTTTATAGAAGGGTTGCCCAAATCAAATGGGAAAGACACTATTTGGTTGATCATTGATCGTTTTAGTAAATATGCACACTTTTTGTCTTTATCTCATCCTTTTATAGCATCTACCTTGGCACAGCACTTTTTGGACCATGTGTACAAATTGCATGGGTCACCAGTCGAGATTATTAGTGATAGAGATCTCCTCTTTATCAGTAATTTTTGCAGGGAATTTTTAAAGGTTTTGGGAGTGGAATAGAAGCTTACCTCCTCATATCACCCACAAACAGATGGGCAATAAGAGGTGCTTAATCGTTGTTTGGAAAATTATCTGTAATGTATGTGTTGGGAAAGACCTAAGGAGTGGCACAAATGGCTTTCTTTAGCGGAGTGGTGGTGTAACACATCCTATCGCACTTCTACAAAAACTACTCCTTATGGACTATTGTATGGACAGGTTCCTCCTATGCATATTCCATTCACTCCACTTTTCATGTCTTATTGCTCAAATTATGCCCTGATCCTTCAGTAAAGCAGCGGCATCCCCCTATTGATTGGCTAGAATCTCCTTCAGATTTGATTCCAGAAAAACTATTGAATGAACGGAGGGGTAGAAGAAAAGGTAGGATTATTACGGAAGTTCTTGTGAAATGGAAGAACCTTCCAGATGAAGAGGCTAGATGGATTTCTCTGTTTCAGTTGCAGAAATAGCACCCTAGTTTTGTCATTTCTAACCCTTGAGGTCCAGGGTTCTTGAGGTATTGATATGTAAACTAGATAATTAGAGGATAATTCAAAAATGGTTAGTTACTGTTAGAGCGTTAATCCTATCCTAGGGGAACCTATATGAAGAGACTCTATGTAATTGTTCGGTATGTTTTGAAATAATATTTCCGAGTACTATTCAGAAATTCTCTCTCTTTCCTTCTATCTCTCTTGTCTCTCTCCTATTCTTATCTATTCTTTCCTATTCTACACATCAGTAGTAGTAAGTAATCTCACCTCCAAGTTGGCAACGTCACCTTCATCCTTGTTCTCAAGGTCACTTCTCTTCTTTGTTTCACTCTCTTGTTTCCGATGATGCTTAGCTCTTTAGTGTTCCAGATCTACTTCTTGCTATTTTGCTCTCCTTGTTGTTTATCGTTTCTCTTGTTATAGATCTACTCGATCTCTCCTGTTGTTCTGCTGCTCGCCATTAAGGTTGCCGTCGCATTTCAAGCATATCTAGAATGAAGCAGCATATCACTTCCGCCACCATCTCCTTCTTCACTACCTTCTTCATTTTTGTAGATTTTTTCTCCCAGTGTCATTTTGGGGCTTCTAGAAAGGGAAAAAATAACCCGTTCAACCTGTCTAACTCGTGGAGTTGAATGGGTTACTTTGGTTTTTTTCTCAGGTTACTTGGGTTAATCCGGGTTGACTTACAGCCAGTCTGAACAGTAAACCGGACTAGACAAACTGCCGGTTCACTAGTCTAGTACAGATTTTTGATGCAACCTCAGGATATGTTCAGACATATAAGAGGAAATTAAGGAAGGGGCAGGGAGTGGAGAAGAATTATCTAGCAGATTAGAAATATTATCCTGATGGTCCAGCAAATGAGGATTAAGTCATTGTAGACTCAATTTAGATGCTAGGATCATCTTTTGGCTTGCCTTAATATTTCATTGATTGTTTTGTTGGCACTCAGATCATGTTTTGAGAGTTAGACAAAAGTGAGGAGAGTGCTGCTCTCTTGAACACTAGTGAGGGATCTGTTATGTTGCTTTCATTTCTTTGGCTGTAATCTTGTTTATGCATTAGGGAATAGAGTTTTGGCCAGAATCAGTGACTTTTCCTTTTGTAACACTGATTCAGTTACCATGCATTAATATCAAAACCTCAAAATTTCCCTAGTTGGTTAGTTCTTGTATTTATGTTTTTTCTGTTAGAAAGTTATTATAGAGCAGAGCTCAATCATTTTCCAAACAATGCACGCCCTTCTCTCTAGGCAAAGAGGAAGATTTAAAGACCCAAAAAGTGAGTCTAGCGCAGCCCATACCCTTAGAAGACTCTTAACTCATCCCTAGGCAAACTCTAACACATCACTAGGCCATCGATTATTTTTCCTTATAACCAGGATGTGAAGGGCAAACATCTAAACCAGCAATAATGTTATCTTCTAAGCTCATTGCCTTCCTTGATTTCCTCTTATAGCTCTTAGTAAAATAATGAGCTCTATCAAAAACTAATAAGATAATGACTAATGAATACTAGTAATGACTAATAAATCCTAATAAACAGAAAAGAATATTTAAAATAATTATGATATCTCAGCAGTTTGAATTTTGCTATGAACAATTCCCTTTCAATATTAGATTTTTGGCTGCATGTTTTTGGGGAGATTTGGAGCACTGGCAGGTTCTTGAAAGTTGACATTGTAAAAATTTCTAGTTTCTTTACTGTTTGCCCTTGTGTGTGTCTGTAATTTCAACATGTAAAGTTTGTGTTTTTTACATGGCGTGAGGCTACAATTTAGTGATTTTGTTTTTCTTTTACAGTACATTTCCTTGCTGTTCATTGGAATGTTGATTGTGATATCAGTGCGTGGATTCTTAACAAATCTAATGAAGGTATTCCTGCAGCTTTGAATTGCTTCTATTTTTCCCTTTGATGTTTGCTTAGATAAGTTATACACGGATGTTTCGATTTTAGTTCTGGTGAAGTGAATCATGAATATAATTCTTTCTTATCGATACCTCAGCAGCTCAGCTTTGATACTCCAGGGAGAGCAAGAGTCAAGGAGAGAAAGAAAGGACTGTAAATTTTATTGAAAAGTTCAATATATTATATAAAAGTAGAATAAGTAGGTTTTGTTACTACTATTTATTGATGTAATTGTTATCTTTTTATTTTAAAAAATTAATTTTCTGTTTTTTTATTTTTATATGATTAAGACTGTATTTTCATACAAATGCACGGAATTGAGGGTAGGTTATGGTTCATGACATAGACTCATCAACCTCTATATTAATACGATGTTCACTTAAATGTACCATCACACAATGAACTCATACCCTTTACTTTTGGTCCACTACATTTAACCATTTTCCTAACTTATTGTTTTTTTTACATGATGCTTGGAATTCATTATTGAGACTCCCACCTTCCCAACTACCTGGGCTAGACCATTCTATCTCAAAAGAAGGTGGAGAATCATGCAATGAAAGCTAATTTATTGTCAAGAGTGACAAAATTTGTGTTAAATGAAAGGGGTTAGTTTGGTCTTATAATGAAATTTCAGCTCTTTTGGAAAATCATTTTGTCATATTGCAAAAAATATTCATGTTGCAGATTTTTCTTTTGATCGGAAGGATCACTTGTCTATTGTATTTTCCTGTCTCCTCATTAGCAACTTCTTGTAAAGGACTTTTGCACCGAAAGAACATTTAAAAGATGTTATTGGAAAACCAAACATAACAATGAAGTAATAATTTGTTGTGCTGACTTCTTATGTAGCTTGTTTATTTATTTGTGTAATTTTTTGTCTGCATGCAGTTCTTTTTTGCTGTTTCCCGAGTTGGAAGTGGATCTTCAAGCAATGTAGTCCTATTTCTGTCTGAGATAATGGGAATGTATTTTGTATCATCTATTCTTTTAATCAGGAAAAGCTTGGCAACTGAATACAGGTATTTGTAGAAATCTGTTAGAATATGATTTGTAGATTTGAATTCTATATTAGGGGCATTTATGTCTGTGTTTTTGTTCCTTAATATAAAAACAATGCTATGAAAATTGACAACAATGTTCATGATAGATTCAACAAAGTTTTACATTGGCTGTTAATGCTATGAAAATTGAACTGGTCTTTAAATTGGTTAGGTATTGGTTTATGGTTCTGTGGTAATTTGGGAGAAAAAATATATCTTTTCTTATTTATTCTAAGTAGTGTGATACAGATGAGTATTTATACGTCAAGCTTGAAGACAAGGTAATAATGACTAATAAATACTAAAAAGAATAATAATGACTAATAAACATAAAAAGATATTTACAGTAGTTACAATATCTCCACACTTCCCCTCAAGTTGAATCATAGATACTAATCATGTCTAGCTTGCTCATGCTACTTTCAAATGCAAGCTAAAGTAACCCCTTAGTCAATACATTTGTAACTTGAAGATTGGTAGGCAAATAAATTAAACATGAGATTCCTTCTTCCACTTTTCTCTAATGAAATGCCTATCCACTTCTACATGTTTGGATTTCTCATGTTGAACAAGATTCACAACCACGCTTAAGACAATAAGTTTTTGTGGTAAGTCCACTTTGATATGTATCTCTTCTAGTGCTCATTTCAGTCACAACTCTTCCATTATTCCTTAAGTCAATGCTCTTAATTTAGATTTAGCGCTACTTTTAGAAACAACTCTTTGCCTTTGACTTTCCTAGGTAACCAGATTTCTTCACACAAAAGAACAACAACTAGAGGTTGATCTTCTATCAGGATGAGTTTCTTCCTAATCTCCCATGATCCATTGTTCTTTAAAGCTCTCATTTCCTCCATAATTGCCATAACTGCATTTCTCCATTCTGACATCTCCACTTCCTCTTGAATGTTGTTAGGAACATTAACTTTTGTCCAAATTTGTGATAAAGGCCTGGTATATTGGAGAGAGGGCCTTGTAGGACATAAGCTTCTAAATTGGATGCAAAGTACAAGAACAAGGCTGTTTTCTGAATGGGTAAATTAAGATCATATTGATCACAAACTTGTTCAAGGATTTGCAATGACAAAGGTGCCTTTAGAGTAGATTCTTCAGGAACTACCACTAGTTTTGAGTCCATTGGTGCTTCGATGCTCTCCTTCATTGGATGTATGCCTTCATAAGTAAACCAACAACTAATTTGTTTTTTGGCTCTTATACATCACCCTTTACTTTTGAGTTGTCTTCTGTGACTAGCACAAGAGATGGCAAATGAGGATTTGATAGAGAAGATGAGGGTGATGGTTATGGTAGTAGTAAAGGCTCTAATGGTGTAAACCATGGATTAAGGAGTTCTCGTTCTCTATTAGATTCTGATGGGTACCTAAGTAGGATGGGAAACCTTGCCTCAAAAGTTAGCTACTGAAGTAGGAGAACCAACCCACTTATATATCCCATTGAGCATCCCATACTACTCAATGTGGGACTTGGTATCCCATACTACCAAGTCTATCAGATTCTTGTTCCCAAGTCCTAGATTCTCTATGTTCTCCCCTTGAAATGAAGAATTGGGATAGAACGGAATGTCTTCATGAAAGGTGACATCAAGGCTTACGAATATATATTTGGAAATAGGGTCATAGCACTTGTATCCATTTTGAGTAGGGGAATAGCCAAGAAAGATGCATTTAGTAGGATGGGGTCTAAGTTTACTGTTTTGGTGGATATAGACAAAGGTTGTTCAATCAACACATAAAGAGGAAGGTTGGTTTCAATATGAGATGTGGAAAAAGCACTTTGCAATTTTTGGAGAGGGGTGTTAAAGGATAAGATGCGACTAGGCATTCGATTGATGAGGTAGGTCACTATCAAAATGGCATCCCTCCAATAAAACTTTGGGACATAGGATGTAAATGAGTACTCTACCAACTTCAAGAATATATCTATTTTTCCTTTATGCAATCCCATTTTGTCGTATTGTATAGGCACAAGTACGTCTATGTATATTACCATGCATGTGGAGAAAGTCACTCAAGGATTGATTGAAATATTTAGTGCCATTGTCGGTATGTAAGACTCGGATGCTTGTATTGAACTGGTTTTTTATTACAATGAAGAAATTTATGAACATGGATGTAGCCTCAAACTTTTCTTTTATGAGGTATGCCCAACAAACACAAGTTTGATCATCAATAAAGGTAATATCATCAATAAAGGTAATGAACCATTTTGATCTAGTATGGTTTGGGATACAGGATGGTCCTCACAAGTCACTATGTATGATACAAAAAGTTTGTTGGGTGTGTACTGTGTTCTAGGGAATGATGTTCAATGATGCTTTGCTAGTTCATAAACTTGACATTGCACATCATGGTTGTTAGTTAGACAAAGGGATGAGAACAAACGAGAATTGTAATGAAAAGTAGGGTGTCTCATTTTCTTGTGCCATACTAGAATGTTTCCTTAGAGGTCAACATAGAATTGCATACACTAGTGACTTGTTGGCAACTCCCTCCTACATCTTTGAAGTAGAGCCCCTCTCACTTTGTAGCATATCCAATCGTTATCCTTGAAAAACGCAATGGGTTGGAAGAAAATTAGCACACCATTTAGATTGCTTTGTTAATTAGCTAATAGATATTAGGTTGCAAGCTAATTTTGGTACATGAAGGACAGATTCCATAATTATAGATTTTGAGATACAAGTACTCAATTTCCCTGCAACAAGAGCAAGAGACCTATAGGAGAATTGGGAATAATGCTTCAATATTTTATTCCTTCCAAGTAGGGAAAATATATACAGCAAAATACAACCAGCCTTTATAATTATGAGGACCAAAATATGTGGAAATATACTATATTTAATGTAAATATCTGATAGTTATTATAGGATCAGATATATTAGGAAGCCTTTTATTTTATTCTCTCTATCCCTCATTTCTCGGCCATATATCTTGGCCATATATTAGCTAAGTATGTATATATGTATGCGACCACTCACTGTATAGAGCACTCAGTTTTTTGCTCAGTAAATCTTCATGGTATCAGAGCACGAAGAAGAACGAGCAACTGAATCATCAGAGACGAACATGGACTCGAGCTTTCAGCTTGAGACTCACCGAAATACAGAGTCGACTGGCTTGGAGAGTTCGTCCGGTGCGAGCTCGCGTCAAGTGGCACACCTTGTGACTGGCCAAGAGAGCTCGCTCGTCTCTCTCGTCTCAGAAAAACTCACCGGCGTCAACTACCGAGAATGGCCCAAACGGTGCGGCTCGCAATAGAAGGTCATGGCAAATGGGGGTATGTTTCCGGTGAAACCCAGTGTCCAGAGGCAACGAATGTCAAGGCTCTCAGGCTCTGGAAGACCGAAAACTCAATGGTATGCTCATAGCTGATTAATTCAATGGCACCAACTGTGAAGAAGAGTTTTTTATTTCTCCTAATAGCTCGGGAGATATGGGACGCTGTGAAGGAGGCATACTCAGATGGGGAGAATGCTTCTCAAGTGTTTGAGATTAAATCCAAGCTATGGCTCGTAAAGCAAGGTAATCGTGACCCAAGTGAATATTACCTTGAAAAAACTGCTCTATGGCAGGAACTTGATCTGATTATTGCTGAAGAATGGACCAGTTCTGAGGATGCTGCTCGGTTCAGAAAACGGCTGGAGAAAGAACGACTGTATGAGTTGCTAGTCGGACTTAATTCAGACTTGGATGATATTCATGGCAGAATTCTGAGTTTGGAACCGTTGCCATCTGTCCGTGAAGCCTTTGCAATGATCCGGAGGGAGTACTCCCGAAGGAAGGTAATGTTGAAAGATGAACCCATTTTTCAAACCAATACTTTTGAATCATCTGCTCTTGCTGCCAAGTCTAATGATCCTAGAAGCATTAAAGGACATCACACGTGTGAACACTGTAAGAAAGTGGGCCACACAAAGGATAAATGCTGGGACCTCCATGGTAAGCCACCCGCCTGGAAGCCAAGAAAGGGAAAAAGTCATGGATATGTTGCTGAAAGCTCCATGGGAGATGATAACTCAGCCCTCAAATGATCAACTAAGATCGATCATTGAAATGCTGTCAGCCCTGCAAACTAATAAGCAACCTATTGCTAATGTGGTACAAAAAGGTAATTTTTCTAAAGCCTTGGCTACTATTAAAAGAGTATGCACTGGAGATTGCTGGATAGTAGACTCAGGCACGTCAGATCATATGACTGATAATATTAAATTATTTACAACCTATGTACCTTGCCAAAAAAACTTTACAGTCAAGATTGCCGATGCATCGGAGTCGGTTATCTCTGGTATAGGGAGTATACAACTCTCATCTACTTTAACCTTACATCATGTTCTGCATGTGCCTAATTTAAAATGTAGCTTACTCTCAATAAGTAAATTGGCAAAGAATGAAAAATGTCATGTTGATTTCTTTGCTACTTATTGTCTTTCTCAAGATCTACTGACGGGGATGACGATTGGCAGTGCTAAGGAATTTGATGGTCTTTACTACCTGGATGGAAATAAAGTCAGTAATGTTAGGTCATGCAATAAAGTGTCTCTTCCTAAGACTAATGAGTTGGAGTTGTGGCACAAACGTCTTGGTCATCCTAATTTTAATTATATGTCAAAATTATTTCCTTTAATTTGCAATGAAAGTGATTATTCTCAGCTCTATTGTGACTCTTGTGAAAAAGCAAAATATCATCGTATTTCCTTTCCTAATCAGCCATACATTGCATCAAAGCCTTTTACAATCATCCACAGTGATCTATGGGGGCCCTCTCGGTCCCTAATAGAACTCACTCAAAGTGGTTCATAACCTTTATTGATGACCATTCTCACGTTACTTGGGTGTTCCTTCTAAAAGAAAAATCTGATGTTTCTCAGGTGTTCATTGATTTCTATCATATGGTAAAAAATCAGTTTCACACGTCTATTCAAACACTTCACACTGATAATGGCACAGAATACTTCAACAAACATCTCTCTACCTTTTTACTTTCCAATGGAATTGTTCACAAAAGTACCTGTCCTTACAGTCCTCAGCAGAATGGTATTGCTGAAAGGAAAAATAGGCACATTCTTGAAACAGCTCGTGCACTTCTCTTTAGCACCATGTTCCTAAATATCACTGGGATGATGCTGTCCTAACTACAACCTTCCTTATTAACTGCCTTCCCAATCGCACCTTGTCATATAAACTCCCATTGAAGTTTTACACCAAACTTACAATCTATCCTACCTGGAAAATACTTTACCCTTACGGGTATTTGGATGTACTTCCTATGTTCATCTTCATCACACAAACAAACTTGACCCCAAAGCTGTCCGATGTGTTTTTCTTGGTTACTCTGCCACTAAAAAGGGGTACAAGTGCTTTGATCCCACCACTAAACGTATCTTTACCACCTGTGATGTCACCTTTCACAAAACAGAATCCTTCTACTCCCAATCTCCAATCCAGGGGGAGAATTGGAATGTATTGCAGATTGGCATGGGTGAAAACATGAGTGAAATACCTGAAACACCCAACCTTATAGCTGTACCTCATCATTTGTCTCTTGAACTCACTGATCTTGATTTGGACCTAGGAATTGAGAACACCAATACTAGAAATGATATGCCAAATCCTAGTTTAAAGAAGATGTCCACAACAGGGGGAGACACTAGATTTGCACAGACCTATACACGGAAAAACAAGACAGGTAAACAGACCTATATCTCAAGCACTGACCAAGAGTCAGAACCAAATGTAGGTCCAAAAGAAGATAATGGAGGAAGTCTGGAAGAATCAGGTGGTAAGGATGATATTGACCTACCGATAGCTATGAGGAAGAAGTCGAGAGCCTGTACTAGGCATCCTATGAGAGGTTTGTGTCTTATCAAGCATTGTCTACTAAATTTTCTGGATTTACCGCCCATTTGGACAGTGTTACAGTACCAAAGAACATTGAAGAGGCTATGGCCGTACCTGAATGGAGACAAGTGTAATGGAGGAAATGGAGGCATTGACAAACAACAATACTTGGGATGTGGTAGAATTACCTCCAGGAAAGAAAGCAGTTGGATGTAAGTGGGTCTTCACACCTAAATACAATGCTGATGGGGCTTTAAACAAACACAAAGGGAGACTTGTCGCTCAAGGGTTCTCCCAAGTGTATGGTATAGACTACACGGAGACATTCGCACCAGTAGCCAAACTCAATACTGTTAGAATAATTCTATCACTAGTAGCCAACCTTGATTGGCCATTACATCAATTAGATGTAAAAAACGCCTTCCTAAATGGTGAGTTGAAAGAGGAAGTATATATGAAGTTGCCACCAGGGTTCCCAGGAAATAAGCCGAATCAAGTGTGCAAATTGAATAAGTCCTTATATGGACTAAAGCAGTCTCCGAGAGCGTTTGAGAAACTCACACGGGTACTAAAAATGGCAAGGTTCAAACAAGGTCAAAGTGATCATACGATGTTCTACAAATACCGAGGCACTAAAACTACTGTTTTGTTGGTTTATGTGGATGATATGGTTCTTACAGGCGATGATGCTAAGGAGATTGAAGATCTTAAAAGGGCGTTGGCTCAAGAGTTTCAGATAAAAGATCTTGGAGAAATGAAGTATTTTTTGGGCATGGAGGTAGCAAGATCCACGAAGGGAATATCTATTTCTCAAAGAAAATATGTGCTAGATCTCTTAAATGAGACTGGCATGCTTGGGTGTAGACTTAGTGATACACCTATCTGAGTTGACAAGATAAGCAATGAAGAGAATCTTGGCAAGCCTGTTGATATGGGCAGGTATCAGGGGAAATTAATCTATTTGTCACATACTAGGCCAGGCATCGCCTTTGCAGTTAGCATGGTGAGTCAACATTCACATGACCCCAAGCAGAAACACTTGAATGAGGTCTACAGGATTCTCAGGTATTTGAAAGGTACTCCTGGAAAGGGTTTATGGTTTAAGAAATCTGAGAAGCGTGATGTGGAACTCTACATAGATGCAGATTGGGCAGGTGATCAAGAGGATAGAAAATCTACATCTGGATATTGCACCTTTGTTTAGGGAAACTTGGTTACTTGGAGAAGCAAGAAGCAAAGTGTAGTAGCCCGTAGTAGTGCAGAAGTAGAATTTCGTGCTATTGCTTTGGGAATTTGTGAAGGCATATGGATTAAAAGGGTGATTGAGGAACTAAAAAAGGATGTTAACCTACCTATCACTCTGTATTCAGATGGTATGGCAGCAATCAGCATCTCACACAACCCAGTCCAACATGATAGGACCAAGCATGTTGAGATAGATAGACACTTTATCAGAGAAAAGATTGATACTGGCATCATCCAGATGAGACACATACCAACAAGGGAGCAAACAGCTGATATTCTCACCAAAGGCTCGAGTAGAGATAAGTTTGATTATTTTATCAACAAGTTGGACATGATTAACATCTATGGTCCAACTTGAGGGGGAGTGTGGAAATATACTATATTTAATGTAAATATTTGATAGTTATTACAGGATCAGATATATTAGGAAGCTTTTTATTTTATTCTCTCTATCCCTCATTTCTCGGCCATATATCTCGGCCATATATCAGCTGAGTATGTATTATGTATGCGACCACCCACTATATAGAGCACTCAGTTTTTTGCTCAGTAAATCTTCAAAAAATAAGGGAGAAATTAAACCAGGAATAAAAAACAAAGAAGAAAGTCTGATCCTATAATATTTGCAATAAATGCATATAATAAAATGAGATTGTCACAGTCCCTTTCATGTTGAATCATAGATATTAATCATGTGCAACTTGTCAAATGCCAACATAATAGTCAACCTTGTCTCAAGCTAGTGCTTTGTTTGTTGTTTGTTCTCTTGAAGTATTCTAGACTAGCCGAATTATCCCATCATCTATCTTTTCTCTTATAAAATGCTTGTCAATCTCAACATGCTTAGTTCTATCATGTTAAACCGGATTATGTGAGATGTTGATAGCTGCCATACTGTTTGAACAAAGTTTGATTGGCAAATTTATACATTTCTTCAATTCTTCAAGTAGTTGCTTAAGCCATATACCTTCACAGATACCAAGTGTTATAGCTTTAAACTCAACTTTTGCACCACTTACAACTACACCCTGCTTCTTACTTCACCAAGTGGCAAGATTGCCCCAAACATATGTACAATATCCAGATGTGGATTTCCTATTGTCTTAGTCAAGTGTGAGGCTTCCATATACTGTTTGTCTTGCCTAATTTGCATTTTAAAAAAGTTCTGTATTCCATTTGTCAAACTTCTTGAACAAGAGGCCACTTCTTAGAGATACTTTTAAGTGTCTATGAATTCTGTAGACTTCATTTAAGTGTTTTTGCTTTGGATCGTGGTAGTGTTGACTGACCATACTTATTGTGAAAGAAATATTGGGTCGAGTGTGAGGCAAGCAGAGTAACTTCCCCCAAATCCATTGATACCTCCCCACATCCACAGCCTTACTAAGATCTTCCTCATCACTAGGGCTATGCAAAAATTCTCTAGTCTTGTACAACCTGGACAAACCCAGTCCGATCCGATCCTGTAAAAAAATTGACCCAAAGAATGAAAAAGACTAGCAAGATTGGATTTCTTCTTTGGGTTGTATTGGACAAGAGATCGAGCTTTTAGACCAATTGGTCTAGTTGGATCCTATAAAAATTATTTTTATATAATTATAATTATTTTTAATAGAGTTGATTTAGTTGAATGTAAAGCTTGAGTGTTGAGTTGAACGCAGCTTCTAATGTTTTGTGATAAATTTTATATTATTATAAGCATTTTTGTTATTTTAATTGAGTTTATTACATTGAAATGAATTTATTGCCACTTACGAAGGAATGGGGGGCAAGCAAAGTGAGGTATTGAACTACTGAGGCCAATCAACCAATCCTATGGACCAAGTTTTGGTCCTATTCAACTTTGGATTAAGTCTAGACCAAGCTAGACTACATGTTGCCTAATCCAATCTTTTCCATGAAAGAGATCAGACTTTAGGTTAAGCTGAAGTTCTGTCCTGCCTGTCCTTTATGTAGCCCTACTCATCATTCATCTTGTCAACTTGCATGGGGATATCATTGGGCCTACATTGCAACATACCAATTTCCTTCAAGAGATGGATCTCTCTGTGAGATGTAAATTCCTTTCTTGGATCAAGCAATCTTCATCTCGAGTAAGTATTTCATTTTCCCAAAATCTTTTATCTGGAATGCTTTGGCCATTGCAGTCTTGCTATGTTCAGTTTCTTCTAGATAATCTCCTGTAAGGACAATCATCAACATAAACTTGCCAAGACAATAATCTTACCATCTTGATGCTTAAAGAACAAAGTATGATCACTTTGTCCTTGAGTATATCCCTGCTTCTTCAAGACTTAGTTCTCAAACCATTCCTGGGGGACTGTTTTAGTCCATGCAGTGACTTCATCAACTTGCACACTTGATTTGGTTTCTTCCCAGGGAACCCTTGAGGTAATTTCATCTAAACTTCTTCCTTGAGTTATCTATTTAGGAAAGCATTTTTCACATCCAACTGATGTAATGGCTAATCAAGATTTGCTAGAGACAACAAAATTCTAACTGTATTGAGTTTATGAACCAGTGCAAATGTCTTAGTATAGTCCATCCCATAGATTTGGGAGAACCCTTTTGCAACAAGTCTAGCTTTGTATTTAGGTGTAAGCACCCATTTACAACTGGTTTCTTTCCTTTGGTAAGATCAACAACATCTCAGTACGATTATTTTCAAAAGCTCTCATTTCCTCTAACACTGCTTGTCTCCAAGTACAGCCATGGCCTCATCAATGTTACTCGGTACCCAAACACTATCAAGGTGAGTGACAAAAGCACTGTACTTTGCAGATAGGGCTTGAAAAGAGGCAAACCTTTCTATAGGATGTCGTGTGCAATATCTGGGTTTCTTTCTTACTGCAGTAGGGAGCTTCAAGTCATCTAAAACTTCACTATCCTTCATAATCACCTGCTCATCACCATCAATATTACCTTCCTCCTCTCTTACAATGACCGTGTCTATTTATCTCCAAATTGCTTGGTGTTGTAGATGCAAGGAGAGAAGTAGGAAGGTGGGGGGGGGGGAAGCTAGAAAACTGAGGAGTGCTTTATGATATTGATAGCAGACAGCATAACATCTCTTAGGCTTTGAACCCTTTTTTTTATATAATAGCTATGCCTTAACCAATCCTAACTAACTTGGCTAACTCTCGTTTAATATATTACTTACGCAACACTTGGTGCATGTGACCCATACACAACAGCTTGAGGGGGAGTATTCAGAATCAATAGAGATATTGTATTTATTACTCATGGAAGGGAAAGAAAATGAACAGTGAACCGTCTAACCAGTTAATTGGTTCAGTTTTTTTAGTTTTTACATGTGCTTGGCTGATTTGACCTGTTTTTAATCCAGTTTTTTATTTTATTTTTTATATTCCGGTTCATCCTCTCCTTTGAACTGGAGCATGCATTGGTCAATTGGTTTTTGGGTCAAACAGGCCGGTCTTGTCTGGCTTTTAGAACAATGTATTAAAATGTTGAGGGGGTCCTAGAGGTTGGTGTGCCTTCTATTTTGGTATATCTCTCTTCTTTTGTCTCTCTTCCCCTTACATGGTATCATAGTAATGTCTAAACCATATACCTTCCTTCGAACTTCAAACCCTACGATTGCCTTAAGAAGAACAATGAAACCCCCCTTTGATCATACTGTGAATACAAGTAACGGAGTAACAAGAGTTGTGCATGATGAGCGTCCATGTTTGTATTTAGACACCAATTTTCTAACCCCTTGAAATAGTTTACAAATGTGAATAGGATGGTACAATTCTTAGGCTACAATTTATCTCAACTTTATGAACTACTTACAAGTATTATTTGGCTAAAGTTGGTGATGGTATGATGATTGTTTCATAGTTGATTGTACACTCGAAAGACCTGTTTCAATTGTGAGACTGAATTTATGTTATATTGTTGAAAAACCATGCTCTGTATTAGAATACAAGTAGACAAAGGTATGAGACTGGAAGCTTGTGTCACATTTCTTGCAACTGCAATTCTGGTATGTCCAGAATTAGCTCTAATGTCTTGACCATTTTAATGTCTGATCTGATTTTCTTGACAGGATTATTATAACAGAGGTATTGGGTGGTGATATTCAATTTGACTTCTATCACCGGTGGTTTGATGCAATTTTTGTTGCTAGTGCATTCCTTTCACTGCTTTTACTGTCTGCGCATTATACATCCCGCCAAACTGATAAACACCCAATTGACTGTGAGTAATTGCACGTTTATTAATTGAGCCATCAGCTAATTTTCGGATTTCGTTATTGCACACGCTAAATATCTAGTTACTAGAGCAACGCATTGTTTACTAATTGCTGTCATCTATGTCTGGACAGGAAGCATGCAACCTCTATGCTTGTATAGTTTCAAAGGCCAACGAAGGTACAATGCTAGGCCAATAAACTTTTTTGTGGGTGAATTTGAATTTATTTTATAACTGATGGTGTGTTATGGAAGAAATGGATGGGGGGAGTGACAGAAAGGAAAAGGTTGAGGGGAAGAAGAGAGATACTTGTGTGCGTGTGTGTGTGACAGAGAGGGGGACGGGGCAGAACTGAATTCTTACTATGCCAAGAGCCTTACATGCGAAGACCGCTCCTTGCCGTTTAAAGACAGAAGGCTCAAAGGTTCACTAATACCCCCATCTTCCCTCTATACCAAAACTGCTTAATAAGTGAAGAAAAATCTGATTGCAGTATTGCACACGACCGTGGTATTCCAAAATTCCTACCATAGCCATTTAAAGGATTGACTGAGGAATCTGTACTAATTCTTTTCCTTGCATCCCTTTGAACTCCTTGCAACCTATTGAATGGCCATTTTACTTCTACTAGCTACTGTCACCTCCACTTCCTCTAATTTCTTCCTTGGCGGCCCAAATTTCTTGAACCATTTGTTTGAGTTCCAGAAAACCACGGTTGCTGTCATTAATTATTAAAATCTGTATGGCCTTCTCTACAAGCCTCTGCACTGTCATAGTTGTGTTATCCCTTGCCTCTTCTATCGGTTTGAGTGCATCTTTTTAATTGATTGTAATGCTGCCTTCTTACATTCTTCTCTAAATTCTTCCTGCACTCCGATCCATCTGTTGAACTGTTTTCTGCATCTAAAATAATTAACTTTTATTTACAGTCAAGAATCATCTGATTTTGTTTTAGAAACTAATCTTGTTGTAGCCAATTAGAAAGAGAATCACATCTCTTTGAAGTTAATTGACAACTTTGCTTCCTAAACTATGATATATCTAAAGAAACATATCATGTGGCTTAAGTGACCTTAGATTTCCATTTATGGGGTGAGCCATTTTCATCATTTGTACATTTGATGTTAATGTAAGTCATTGCTTTAAAATTTTAAATAGGAGTACTAGTTTTTTATCATTATTATTATTTTGAGTGCACGTTTCATAATTACATTTTTTGACGTGGAATGATGCTATCTTCAGTGACCATGATGTGTGAAGATTCTTCGACAGCAAGAATAGCAACAAAGGATATAGAATTTGCAGTTCGCTCCATAGGTAATAGGAAAGTGACTCATCAAAGCTCGTATAGAAAAGCAACATGTCGGTCGGATGACTGCTTTTAGACGATATTTGATGGCTGTCTATTAAAGTGTTGGTATATCATCCTAGTGCATCAGCTTTATGATAGAATGTAAAGAAAAATGGTTGAGTACCAATTATTGTTCAATTAGTAGAGAATTTGCCTCTTTTTATGTTGTGTTTTTGGAAGCTGATAGGCAAGCTTATTTAGGAGGGGATGACCCAGGCAAGTGCTATCTCACCATTATTTGGAACCTACAACGTTGTACTTTTTATAGGAAAATATTGATTACACGTCACGGGGACAGCTACTCTTGTGCGATAATGCTATCTGCAATGTTTACTCCTTTCGTTTGACTCTGGCTGGGAGTATCTATAATATTGCTTCAAAATTGCTTGATTCTTTGTTGTAAATGAGTAGTAAAATAGCCTACTCTAATTTACAAATACTTTTGTGGCAAAAAAACAAAATGCACAACTAATTTGAAATATTTCTTCTTCTTTTTTTTTTTTAAACGGACAGAACCTTTTGGAGCTGTAAAATTTTCATTTATCATATCATGTGTTGTGTAAATTTGTACTTCACATTTTTTCGTTTTAGGATAAATAAGTAAATTATTTTTTGAACTTTATGTTCAATAACATTATAGATATCTGAACTCATTTATCATATAAATTACTTTCTCAATTTTTAAAAATAATGCAATTGTTAATAAAAGTTAATTTTAATCATTAATTGATATAAAATGATAGAAAATGATCTAAAAAATTATAATAAAAGCCCAAAAATTGCAGAGAATGACCCAAAAAAATACAAAAATGATCAAAAAATTGTAATTTTTGAAGTCCTTTTCCATATTTTCTGGACAGATAAAGTTAATTTTTATTAATAATAGAGATTAGATTGTATCATTTTTAAAAGTTAAAAAAATTTACATAATAAATAAATTCATGATTTATAGTGATTATGGATTTAAAATTTATGAGATAATTTGTTCATTTATCCTTTTTGTTACTCCATATGCTTCACATTTTTTTTTATTTAGATAGATATTTCAAAAGCGAGAAATAATCTATCCATCTATTTATATAATAAAGTATAATGATTTTTTACTGCATACGCATAATGGGGAAAAGTTACTGTAGATATTCAGTAAAAAATCATTGTGCTGTTTTTCAAATAAATTTTTCACAAAATAATAACATATGAAAAATTATTTTTAAATCTTATTTTAAACATCATATTTATTTTATTTTAAAATTATATGAAATTATGTTATATTTTTCAAATGTATATAATTAGTTATTAACTTTTTGAATGACTTATAAATGCACATAATATATGGTCTAATATATTCTACAATGAAATATATTATAAAAATTTTTAATTTTCACCAAAAAATCACATATTCCTCCCGTTTAAAAATGTAAAGCATTCTTTAAAAAATTACATCTTAAAAAATGTAAGACATTTTTAATCTTTTAAGATATAATCATTACAATTTTTTTCAAAAGTGTTTCAAATAATAGTGACTTTATATTTATTATAGAGTGTTTAATAAGGGTAAATATGAAAAGATAAGGTAAGTTTAAAAGTAGGAAATAACTTTATTAGGGGGTGAGATTCGATTAAAAATATTTTACATTTTTTAAATGAAGGAAGTAATTATTTACACTAGACTTTAAATTGCATGAGATGAAATATTATAGAATATAATAAGGTATAATTTATGTTTTGAATAAATAATCAAATTAGCCTGCAAACTTGGGCAAAAGCGTATGGAGTTCTAAATTTATTAATTTATGAAAACAATGTAATTTGGCCTATGGTGTTAATAAAAATTAATTTTATTATTAATTCACTACAAAATAATAAAAAGGATTTCAAAATTTTAAAAAAATTTAAAAACTATAATGAAGGGCTCAAAAATTACAACAACTATACAAAAAAAGACAAAAATAAACTAAGAATTTTTTTTGTCATTTTTTGTAATTTTTTTCTCCTTTTCTGTCATTGTCTGGCTAACTAACAATTAAAATTAATTTTTATTAAAGGTAGAAGTCAAATTGTACCGTTTACAAAAGTTAAAAGATAACATTACACAAAAAATAAGTTTAACGTCTTAGATATTAATGAACTTATAGTTTAAGCCTTAAGGGTCAATTCGCTCATTTATTCTTATATTTTTAATATATATGTATATATAAAAATAAAAATAATTTTTATATTTTTAACATGCACAATATCATGAATTTTTAACTACAAGTTATTTGTATTTTTAAAATTTTAGTAGTGCGATGCAATAAATTTTGAAATTAAGTATATAATTTAGATTTTTAATATATATATATATATATAGAAAAAATAAATTATAAAAATAGAACGACTTGTTATCTATATTTTTAATATTATTTGACCATTTTTTAAATTTATGTACTTTTAAATTAATTTTAAATTTTAAACCAAGTTTTTTTATATTTTAAACACACATAGGATAATAATTTATTGTTTACTTTTTTTAACATGTACATGGTAATAAATTATTATGTAATTTTATGCACATTGCTATGTAGACTAAATAATTATAAAGTAATTATATTTTTTATTTTTATATTCATTATTAATAGCTTAAAATGTTTTTGTAATTTCTAAAATATTAAATAGGATAGTTATTATCTAAATTTTTTTACTGTATTGTTTATAGTTTAATGAGTAATTTTTAAAGATGGAAAAATAGATTTAAAATTTTTTAATTAATTTTTATTATTTTTATTTTAAATTATCTCTTTATTAAAATTTTATAACCTTATTACTATGAAATTTTCTCTCCTCTTCTTTGGATGAAAAAAAATGAAGGAGAATTCCCCTGCTGAAATGCATGAAACTCTGCCTCTTTCTCATCTTTGAAAGCTGGCGGAAAGTGAAAATCATAAAATCTTTCTTTAAATTCAGCCCAAGACATAGATCTTCCATCTGTGGGCTTAACAGAATCCCACCAATGCTTGGCTTCACCAACAAGCTGCATCGTAGCCAAGATAACCCTCTGCTCAGATGTACACCTCACAACAGTAAATAACTGCTCCATCCGATCCAACCACTCCTTATCTTTCCCATCAAGCATACTACCATCATATGTGGTCGGATTAAAATGAGAGAATTCCTTCCAAGATTCGGATATGTCATCCTCTCGATTATTAGCAACTGGTGCATGAGCTCCCATAGTACTAGAAGATCCCTGCCCAGCACTTAGGTCAACATGCTGATCTGGAACAGTATGACTTCTAAGATTTTGCTGTATATCCACCATAACTTCAAGCAGCCTAGCCATGACTGCATTCGTCCCCTGTGGTGGTGGTGGAGGTGGAGGCAGAGGCGGAAGCGAAGGAGGTAGAGGTGGTAGTCGTAGGTGCCAAGTAGGAAAAAGGAATCATAAACCTAAAACTGATACCAAATGTAACACTTGCCCCGAGTGTTATCCAAAAATCACACAATTCAAATAAACTAAGTGTGGTTAAGGAATTAATCCTAAAATCAACTTAGGAAACAAACCATTTAAAGCCTTTAAAAAAATTTTATAGGTTCTACCTATAGCACACGGAAGCAATCTAGATGAAAGTGAAATAAAAAGATACTATCATGACAGCATTA